CCTCCCGCCTCTACCTGGCTATCTCCTCCTCCAGGAAGCCTTCCCTGACCTTCCCAGACAGCACTGGGTGCCGTCTCTGCAAGCATCCTGTCAGTTGTCTCATGTGCTGAAGTTTCAGTATCTGCTGGCACAACTGTCTCCCCCACCAGTCTGTGAGGCCAGACTGAACTTCTGGGGTCCAGCAAGGGCCTGGCTCGGAGGGAGCAGGAGGCCCTCAGTAAACATTGGCGGAATGAAATGAGGAAAGGGGCAGGCGAGGGCTTAGCAACCTTGGGGCCAGGAAGCCTCTTCAGGGGGAAAAGTCAGAACCTTCCACCCTGTGGTTTGGAGTGCAAAGGCCTGATGCAAGCCTAGCTCTGACATGTCACTCACCGTCTAACCTTGGACAAGTAACAGGTGACTTCTCAGGGACTCGGTTTTCCTGTCAGTAAAAGGAAAATAATAATCATAGTGCTTAACTCCCACGTGGTGGTAAAGATTAAATGAGAAAATTCATGCAAAGACTGTAGCACATTAAAAAAAACAAAAAAACATTGCCGTCAAGTCGATTCCGACTCATAGCGACTCTGACCACATGGGGTTGCCTTGAGTCAGAGTTGACGTGGTGGCAACTGGTTACCACAGCAGAACACCTCTTGGACTCTAATGTGCTCAAGGATCATTCGGGCACCTTGTTCAAATGCAGCTTCTGATCCAGCAGGTCCAGGTGGGCCTGAGGCTATGTTTCTAACCAGCACCCAGGTGGTGCCGGGGCTGCTCATCCCAGGACCCCACCCTGAGCATCCAGGCTCTGTTGCACTCCTAGTCTCCCATCACCCAGAATCACCTGTTTGGAACATTTTGCATCTTTCATTTTTTTTTAAGTGAGATGAAATTCACATAACATAAAATCGGCTGTTTTTAAGTGTACTCTTCAGTGGCATTTAGGATAGTCACCATGTTTTGCAGCCATCACCTCTGTCTACTTCCAGAACATTCTCATCACCCCATAATAAAACCTTGTACCCATTATGCAGTCACTTTCCCTCCTCTCAGCCTCTGGCAACCACTAATCTACTTTCTATGGAGTTAGATTTTCTGGACATTTCATCTATGTTTTCAGAATATTTTAAAATGATTGTTGTTAGGTGCCATCAAGTTGGTTCCGACATGTAGCGACCTTACGTATAACAGAACAAAACGTTGCCCAGTCCTGCACCATCCTCACAATCGTTGTTGTTTGAGCCCCGTGTTGCAGTCACTGTATCTGTCCAAGGTCTTCCTCTTTTTCGCTGTCTACTTTACCAAGCATGATGTTCTTCTCCAGAAATTGGCCCCTCCTGATAACATGTCTGTCTTAGGCTGGGTTCTCTACAGAAGCAAAACCAGTAAAGCATATATGTGTGTGTGTGTGTGTGTGTGTGTTCTCTACAGAAGCAAAACCAGTAAAGCATATATATGTGTGTGTGTGTGTGTGTGTGTGTGTGTGTGTGTGTGTGGAGAGAGAGATCAAGGAAATGGTTCACGTGGTTGTAGAGGCTGGAAAGTCCCAAATCCATGGGTCAGACTGGAGGCTTCTCCCTAATCACAAAGCTGCAGGGGCTGGCGAACCCAAGATCCAGACCGTGGACAGCAGGTAAGCTGCTAGATGAGGTCCCAAGAACCAGAGTTCAGATGACCAGGAGCCAGCTGCAGGATCCAGAGCGAGCAAAAGCCAGCGAGCTTTGCCAAAAAGTCCACTTATATTGGATGCAGGTCACACCCCCAAGGAAACTCCCGTTCAACTGATCGGCTACTCATAGCAGGTCCCATCATGGAGGTGATCATATTGTATCAGATCCCATCATGGAGGAGATCACAGTATATCAGCTCTCATCGTGGACGTGATTACATCATTATACGACTGCCAAACCACATCATAACTGCCAAACCACTGAGAAGCATGGCCCAGCCAAGTGGACATACAACCTTAATGATCACAATGCCAAAGTATGTGAAACGAAGTCTCCCTATCCTCAGTTCTAAGGAGCGTTCTGGCTGTACTTCTTCCGAGACAGATTTGTTCATTCCTCTGGCAGTCCATGGTATACTGAATATTCTTCGCCAATGCCACAATTCAAATGCATCAATTCTTCTTCAGTCTTAAATGATAGATACCACAATATTTTACCCCTAAGCACTTCAGTATGCATTTCTTAAAATAATAACATTTGCTACATATCTTATCATGCCTGAGATTAGTAATAATTATCTAATATTCATATTGAAATGTCCTCAATTGTCCCCAAAATGTCTTTTACAGATAGTTTTTTTTGTTGAGCTAGAATCTGAACCTGGCCTCATGCTTTTCTCTTTTAAGTCTCTGTCCTCTCCACACCATTTTTTATCAAGCTACTGACTTTTTGGGGAAACCAGGAGTGTTGGATGTGGATGCACGCACCTTTTAGATGCATTGTTCCTCATAGTGTACTTAACTTATTCCTCCATCAGCTGTATTCCCATAACCTGAAGATTAGGTCTAAAGGTTGGATTCATTTGATTAAATAGTTTTCACAAGAATATTTCAGAGGGAATAAGAATAGCAGTTATCTCTAGGGTGGGTTATCAACACAGAAAAGGTACAAAGAAACTTTCTAGGTTTCTGGAAAAGCTCTAGCCCTTGATCTGGGTAGTAGTCTCATGGGAGTGTACTCGGTGAAAGTCCAGACTGGTGCACTTTATGTATATCATATGTCAACAAAAGAGAGAGAGAACTAAAAAAAAAAAAACCCAACTTAAAAATGGGCAAATGTCTTGAATAGACATTTCTCCAAAGAAGATTGTGAAACGGTAGTAATAGCGTCAGAACCTGTCTAACTTCAGGGGGGATAATGCAAATAAAGATCAGCCCAAGGCTGAGCCCTATGAGGTTGAGGTCAGACATACTTCCACTGTCCAACCTTTTTACCAATTCGGACACCTCTGTCACCACCAACTCTGCAACAGAGCCCGTTTCAGGCCTGTTGCCACCCGCTATGCCACAGGGTCCCTTCCAGGCCCGTCACCATCTTTAGTGTTACAGCACTTGACCTGTGTTAAAGCTCTTTTAGGAAGTTCCTTGCCTCCTGTCTCTCTGCTTCTTCTCTCTTCTTTCTTTCTTCTGCTTCTGTATGCCAACCTCTGTGGGGTTGGCGCATATATAAGCAAAATTCTCATCAGTTTCAAGGCATGACACTCCCACCAGAGCCACAAACTGACCAATCTTCTCTCGGTAGGCCACAGACACTTCATTTGCATAGTAGGCCATAATAACGTCATTTGTTTAGTCTGTAGTCACTTAATTTGCATAGTGTATTGACCAGTCCCTGCAAGGTGCATACCAATCACAGGGCAGGCAGCAGCCCAGGACCAGACAAAAGGTATCAAACCTCAGGTTGTTTACAGCTTACCCAAGAAATGTCAATGAACCTGGACAAAAGTAACAAACCCTCTGGGTAGAAAAACCAGGGCAAAGTTAACTCCCTCTGGGCTTAGGGGAAGCACCTCTCGAGCTATTTTTTCCAAAGAACCAAGGCAAAAGGCCACATAAAGGAACTCATTTCACCACAGACATATACGAATGGCCAATAAGCACATGAAAAGGTGCTCAACAGTCATGAGGGAAATGCAAATCAAAACCACAATAACAAAAAAAGAGAAAAAAAGTAGCTTCTGAGGCTGCTTATGTACAACCAAACACTTCATGGGATTTGATTACTTTGGAGGTTTAGGGTCATGGTTTCATGGGACATCACAGTTAATAGGCCTAATAACATGTTTAGTGCTTCCCTTCTACCGCCTAGTTCATTGCATAGTGCCTGGGTTCTTAAAAGCTTGCTTCCAAGGCCTAAAAATTGGCCGCTATTCACCTGGAGCAACAGAGGGAGAAGGAGAGTCAGGAATAGGAGGAGGCTATGGAGTGTGTGGCTAATTGCCTCCATGAACAATTGCTTCCTTTGCCATGAGTCTAGAAGAATTGGGTGGTGCCTGGCTACCATTACTGAACATTTTGATCAACGATTCTATAGAAGAACTCTGATCAAAAGGGGGGAAATGCAGAACAGAATCTCAAATTCCCATGGAATCCGCACTTTCTGTAGCCATGGAGGCTGGATAAGCCCCTGAAATTATTTCCCTGAGATAATCTTTAAACCTTAAACCAAAAAAATCCCTTGAAGTCTTCTTAAAACCAAACAATAGTTGAGCTTAACTAGTGAAGAATGTCTGTCTTGAACATTATGCTCTTTTAAGAACTGTCTATATGGGATCAAACTGACAACAGCAACATGAAAGTTTAGATAGAACCTTACCCATTGCCATCTGGTCAATTCCGACCCATAGCGACCCTATAGGACAGAGTAGAACTGCCCCATAGGGTTTCTAAGGAGCGGCTGGTGGATTTGAACTGCCTACCTTTTGGGCCGAACACGTAACCACTGTGCCACCAGGGCTCCAAGATAGAACCTTAGGGGGCGTTATGTTAGTGGA